TGGCATTCGACTCCAGCAATTTTTATCGGACAGAAGTAATCAATTCCGAAAACTGATCAGTCCACGTTGCAGCCGCTTGACTTTTGCACTTGGGTAATACTGTGACATCAACGGTAGAATTTGGCATCTTAGTATATACAATACTAAATGGGCACATACCAGTAGAGCGGTTAGGCATGGAGTTGAATGCGAATTCTGCTTGTCCGAGCACCTCGTCCCACATCTTCGTATTGTCCTGCACAATACATCTCAGCAAATTTCCCAAGGTGCGATTCACCACTTCTGTCTGGCCATCAGTTTGAGGATGATACGGGGAACTGAGTTGGAGTTTGGTGTTCAACCGCTTCCACAATTCTCGCCAAAAGTGGCTAATGAACTTCACGTCTCGGTCGGATGTTAAGCTCCGCGGCACACCGTGAAGCCTCACGATTTTTCTGAAGAATAGCTTAGCCACGTTTAATGCGTCGAAGGTTTTCTTGCAAGCTATGAAGTGTGCCATTTTAGAAAACCTGTCCACCACCACCATAATTGAATCATTGCCTTTCTTAGTGCGGGGAAGGCCGAGCACAAAATCTAGACTTAAGTCCTCCCAAATGGACTCCGGCACCGGTAATGGTAAATACAACCCCGTGTTCTGTCCGCCTCCCTTGTAATTTTGGCACACCGAACATCTTTCCACAAATTTAGTAACATCTTTCCTCAAATGGGGCCAGAAGAATTTGCTCGTTATTTGAAAAATAGTCTTGTCCCTGCCTGCGTGGGCCGATAACCCGCCACAGTGGATCTCTTGGATGAGGTGCTGCCTCCAAGATGATTTTGGTATGCACAACAAATTCCCTTTAAAAAGGAACCCGTGACGGATCGAATAATCTTCACCCGGTTCTTTGTTTATACACTTCAACCAGCTTCCGGCAAAGTCTTCGTCTTCGGCGTATAGTTCTTGCAGACATTCCAATCCCACGAATTCATCCCTTAGCTGAGTTATCAGCATAGACCGACGGCTCAAGGCGTCAGCAACCCGGTTCTGTGTGCCGCTCTTGTGTTTTAACACAAAAGTGAATTTTTGTAGTAACAAGATCCATCTTGCGTGCATCCGATTGATGTTTTTTTGCGTGTTGATGTATTGCAAGGCCTTGTGGTCACTGCATAGAACAAAATCCTGGTGCAGCAAATAGTGCTCCCATTGTTTAAGTGCTCTAATTACAGCATATAGCTCCTGCTCGTATACAGACCAGCGCTGTCGGGATGAGCAAAGCTTCTCGCTGAAGAATTCAACCGGCCTATTATCTTGGGTCAGCACGGCGCCGATTCCGGTAGTTGACGCATCAGTTTCTACGGAAAAAGGCTTATCAAAGTCTGGTAATGCTAGTACCGGTGCAGTGGACAGAGCTTCCTTGATCTTAGCAAAACTTCGTTGCTGTTCTTCTCCCCACACGAAATTTTTCTGTTTCAGAACATCTGTGATTGGAGACAAGATGACGCTAAAATTTTTAATGAATCTGCGGTAAAAATTTGCGAGTCCGTGAAAGCTCCGAATATCTGTGAATGATCGTGGATTTGGCCAATCCACAATTGCAGCCACCTTCCGAGGATCGGCGCTAATTCCGTCCGCCGAGATTTTGAAACCGAGGAATGCCACTATTTCGCTGGCAAAATCACATTTTGCAAGATTTAGATAGAGTTTGTTCTGCCTCAGCGTCTCAAATATGCTTTTCAGATGCTCTAAATGTTCACCCAAGCTCTTGCTGAAAATTAGGATGTCATCGAAGTAGGCTACACAAAACCTGTTCAAATACGGTTTCAAAACCTCATTCATTAATCTCATGAAAGTTGAGGGCGCATTACATAATCCAAACGGCATGACTCGCCATTCATATAGTCCTTCCCAGGTCTTAAAGGCTATCTTCCATTCGTCCCCAGGACGAATACGAATCTGGTGATACCCACTGCGCAGATCCAATTTGGAGAATACCTGAGAGCCGACCAGCCTTTCCATCATCTCGTCTAATCTTGGCATTGGAAATCTGAACTTGACAGTGATCTTATTAATTGCCCGACTATCAATGCACATTCGCCAACTGCCATCTTTTTTTGGCACCAAAAGAGCTGGGACTGCACAAGGACTTAAACTGTGCTGTATAAGTTGTTTTTGGAGCAAGTCATCCACAATTTGCTGCAATACTCGGTGTTCAGTGGGACTCATCTTGTAATGAGGAATGTTGGGTAGAGTGGCCCCGGGATGTAAATCAACTTGGTGATTTATGGATCGCAGTGGAGGAAGTTCCGCTGGAAGCTCCTGAGGGCAAACATCTGCATATTGTTGCAATAGTTGGTTCACTACAGGTGGCAATTCGGTCTTGCTCACGGTTGCGGTTTGCTCTTTGACAATAAGGGCCACAATATCAGACGACTCCTTCCATGCATTAAGCAATGCATTGCCAGGAACCACGAACAGAGCCGCTTTGTTCGTGGGGGGAGCAGCTTCTTTGCCTGCGGGATCCGGTAATAACCGTAACTTCTTCCCCTTCCAGTCGAAGGTGTAAATGTTAGCCCTGCCATCGAAAATTGCCCCCACGTCAAATTGCCATGGGCGACCCAATATGACATGGCAAACATCCATGTCTATGACATCACAAAGGACCTCGCTTATGTAATATTTTTCAATAGAAAACTGCACTCTGCACAGGTCAGAAACAGTCAATTCCACTCCCTTCTTCCCCCAGCTGATTTTGTATGGATTGGAGCTTTTAGTTGTCTTAAGCTGGAGCGCTTGCACCACGGACCTGGATATCACGTTCTCAGTACACCCACTATCAATCAACAGGCTGCATACCTTTCCACCAATAGTGCATTTGGTTTTAAAGAGTGCATTTCTTTGAGAATTATTTGGCTGTCTAGGAGCAAGTAGAAGTCGTTGTAGAACAAACACCAGTGGTTCCCCTTCATCTCCGGCAACTTCTTCTACCAGATTGGTCTGTCTATCCTCGGAATCATCCTCTCCCTCGTCGAATTCCCCATCTAACAATTACAATTGACCGCGAGAGGGACATTCATTGGACTTATGTCCTTGTTGGAAACACCGAAAACACTTGATGGTGGACGGCTTCACATACGGATTATCTTTGGTTGGCCCTTTGAACTTCGGAATTCCTCTGACCTCCTCAGGTTTGTTAATTGCCAATGGTTGTGAGGGGCTCGCCTGACTAGTAACAGATTGTCTGTTGAAAGTAGCTGGTTTCATACTGCCCATCCGATTAGAATCGGCTGTGGACTCCACAGCTTTCCTGCTATAATTGCTCCTGCTTTGCCGAGTGGATTGCATTTCAATTTTCATTGCATAATTTACGGCTTGAGAAAGTGACCATACCGTGTTCAATTCGAGCTTGTTATGAATTGAATCCTTGAGGCCCCCCACATATCGAGCTACCAGTTGGTTTTCCTACTCATTCAAATTATTTCGGGCACTCAATCTATAAAATTCTTCGGTATAGTCGTTGACGGACCGATTTCCTTGTATGAAATGTTGGTATTTCATATAGAGCATTTGTTCATAGTCTGTAGGAAGGAAGTGTCCCCGAAGCAGCTGCTTCATCCGGAACCAACTGCGTACCGGACCTTTACCTTCTCGACGCCGCGACTGGATCATCTGCAGCCACCAAGCGCTAGCCCCGCCCTTTAATCGACACGCCACGTATTTAACCTGCTTCTCAGGTTCAATCTACATATACTCGAAGAAGGTTTCCACCGATCGTTCCCAATCGAGGTAGTCTTCGATGTGCAACTTTCCGTCAAAAAAACGGAATGTCCAATTTGACTCTAAACTCTCCATTTGAACGATCCTGTTCTCGGACTCTCCTCCGGCGAGGCGCCGTCATTTCTTCCTCTGACTCTGATAACTCCAGATTCGCGAACTGTTCCATACCTTCGTCCGAATCGGAAGCAAACGTCTCCGGTGCATGGTACCTTGGTAATCTTCTTGTTCCGCCCCGTCTGTGAGTTGCTGATATGGTTGCCGGCAAACCCCCTCGTGGTTCGGCATTGCGCTCTAACAGAGCGCGGATATCTCTCAAGTCTCGCCGCACCTCGTCGGAGAATCGACGGAAGTCTGCCGTCAATTCCTCCGTGTGCCTGGCCAACCCAGAGTGTTCGGCCCACAGGACCTCCAAGCTTTTTTCCTCCACGTGAGCCACCCGCTTGCTGCCTTCCGCCATTTAGCTCTGATACCAGAAATGATGTAGTACCTGCACTAAAAAGCTTAACAACAAGAAGAAGAAGATGATAATAAACTCTATAGAGATTGAACTTCCAAAAACTGAGTACTCCTACAGCTTCTCCCTACAAATACTACCTTCGGCTAAACCTCCTAGAAACAAAAATAACACCTGGAGATAAAAGTGGCTCTGAGCCCAAACGGTCCAAAACAGTAAAAAGGCAGAGAATATTCTAACTAACTAAAAGTGCTTGAATAAGATGTCCCTCCGGTGCACCGTCTAAAGATGCTCCGCATCACCCTCCCTACAGTTTAATTTACTTTCTATCTCTAAGCTAACTAAATATAACGATATCTTAATTATATTTAATCATTCGGGTTTTGTTTTTAAGTATCTGAAGATGCATGAAACACTTCTACAAAGATCATGTCATAATGGATTGTATCCGATTCGGACGGCAGCTCTACATCCCCCACCGAAGGCTTTATATGTTACCCACACTGCATCCAATAATTTTTAAGCGCCGCAAATCCTCTCAAATTCAATAATTTATTTTCACAAATAAATTTATTGTTTTTAAATTATATATTTATCTACAAACAAGGCCTACTAAATTAAAACTGAATTTAAAATAATTAACAAAAACAATTGTTAAAAATAAACTTCTAAAATCCTCAATAGAAAGTTAGAAGCTAGTAGAACTCCCTGGACACCTCCCCTCTTCTCAGAAACCAGAACCCTCCCGAACCCACAAGAAGCCGACTCTCCATTCTCTGAAACCCTATAAAAATCCAAACAATATCGCTGTCTCGCTATCATCAAATATTCTGCGCATTCCGGCAAACATGTCGCTTGTCCGCAATTGTCCCTTCTTCGCTTCTAACCACAGCAACGTTTTCGACCCTTTCTCCCTCGACCATTGGGATCCCTTCGGAACCTGCCCCTTTCTCAAATCCTTCACTTCCCCCATCTCCATCGACGGCTCCTCGCCGTCCCCGGCCTACTACGCACGTGTGGACTGGAAGGAGACGCCAGACGCGTACGTGTTCAAGGTCGATCTTCCAGGACTGAAAAGGGAAGAGGTGGAGGTGAAGTTAGAGGATGGGCGAATACTACACATCAGCGGCAATCGGAAGCGGGGGGAAGAGGAGAAGAAGACCGACACTTGGCACCGCATCGAACGGAGCATCGGTAGCTTTTTCCGCCGCTTCCGACTTCCGGGTTCTACTAAGGCGAGTGATGTGAAAGCTGCCATGGAGGACGGGGTGCTTACAGTCACTGCTCGCAAGGAGGAGGAGGAGAAGAAGAAACCTGTGGTGAGAAGGATTGAAATCTCCGGTTGAAGGGCGGAATTGAAGGTGTGAGTTCTTACAATATCCATGCGAAGTCTTGATTGCAATCTCTGAGTGTTTGAAAATTAAAATGGTTTGGTATTGTATGTACCTTCTTATGTATAAGCTATGCTGTGATACTGTTGTAAAAGATGAGTTCTAATTAAAAAAAAAAACTTTATTAACTGCTGGGGTTTGGCTTACAATCTTGATCTGATAGAGTTTTAAGGAGAGATTTTATGGCTTATTGGATAATTTTCTGAAACGAATCCGCAGCAATAAGAGAAAAAAAAAAATTTTTTTTTTTTTGAGAAAGAAGGTTGATTGGTAGTAAAATGAGTTGGAGAAATTTAAGAAGGAGCGTGATTAAAATTTAATTAAATTAAAAAAATTTAGATAGACAGTACACGCTGATTATTTTAGCGTCTTTTTTTTAAAGAAAATATATAATTTATAACATCCGTTACAGATATATCTTGTGATTTATATGGTATATATTTTAAATACAAAAGCACTTGATTTAAGTTCGAAATTCACTTACACAGCATATAAAATTATTTAAATTTTAAAATAAATTATAATAAAATAAAAAATATATAAATTTAATATTAAAAAAATAAAATGGGATTAATAGTCAGGTTTTAAATTTAAAAATGATTTTTACAGGAATTAAATTAAGATTGAGAGTGATTGAAAATAACATTAAAGCATTTCATTTTATGTCATGAAGAAAATGTCACCCGGAATGATGTTTACAATCAATTACAAATAACAGATGCTTTGTGAATTAATTTGGCTTAAGAACAAGCACTCTCCACACTTTACTCTCACTCCTTTTAATGTTTTGTATAATAAGTAAACAACCAACCCTCAATAATTTGAAAAAAATAATAAAAAAATTATTTATACTTAGTATAGAACTGACATAGGCTCCATGTCGCTCCAAAGATTGATGTTGCGTGCTTAACAAATGAATTAGCGTTTTGGCACTCATTGTTTTAGCTTAGCCACATTGTTAGGTTGAATCACATGACGCTTCATAAATGAACCGCTCTAACTCCCTCACTGCAACAGTGTTCGTAATGTTGTATGACACTGAGCACTTCAGAAGACAGCATTGTGGGGATGAATTTATTTCTGGAACTAAATGACAGTAGGGTGATACTCATGTTGCAGTGCTTGATGGATTGGTGTTGGGGTGCTGAATTAATTTGCAAAATTCTAAAACTTAGTTACTCAGAGTGCTCTAGCGTGGCGTTGGAGCAACGTTGAGACATGACATGTCTTGGTGCCGCAGCGCTGGAGCCAATTTATCATTTTGTGATATTTTTCCTGAATTCTCCTATGCAACATCAACTAAAACAAATATTTTTATAGGAATTTATGACCAAAACATCAACATAATTCTCACTTATCAGTTATCAACCAAATTTAAATTAAATCCCTTGGAGCTACAATAATGTTTGGTGGGAAAGCTTTTCTAGTTCATCTGAAGGCAAAGGAGAATGAAAAAAGCCTTCAATAAAATAGCAATGTGGATGCTGAAAGGAGTCGCCAGAAAGCAACAAGAGGTCATAGCAATGCTGCAAGAGAGACAGAGAACCTTGTTGACATAAAACCTTAGAAGAGCTCTCTTGTAACCACAAGGAAACTAGTACTTATCTTCTAAATAGAATGCTTTGAGCATCATAGCAAATTCAAATAGATTATTCATAACTAGGAGTGCCAAAATTTGATCATGGGCAATGTAAGGGTCGAATCCAACATCTATCCGCTATTGCTTGACTCGACACGGTTTTCCAAATGGATCAAAAATCCTAATCGGGACCCGACCCACGTATTCGAGCGTGCTACGACACAAATAAGACACGGACGGCATCAACAACACCGACAAATGGGACGACGGCGCGAAAATTGACGATTGTGCTACGAGTCGATGATGGCACGACAATTGATGACAACACAGACGACAAGTCGACTACAGCACGGACTAAATCGCGGAGGAGGAGTCGACGACTGCACGGACGAAATCATAGACAACGAGTCGACGACGTCTCGACACTATGTTTCCCGGTCAACCAAAGTTGGTTTTGGGTTTCCAGGTCAACCCGAACCCAACCCAGTTTTACAAATGGATTGAAATCCCGAACCTGACCCATTTCTCAAACTGGTTGACCCTAACCAAGAATATTCGAGTCGTGTCAAATATTGACACCCCTATTCATGGCATACTACGAAAGCTTGAGTTTAATACTTCATATACCTTCAAAACAAACATAAATCTCAACAAATCCTCCATTTGCATCTTAAATACAAGTAACCAAATTTTTTATGTTGCTATTGAAGATTAAAATATGATTAGAGGAGTACATAATATAAAATTTTGTTATTAAACTATAAAATATTTGATTGTGCAAATTGATATTTTTTATTACTTCAGATTTTAAATAATGAAATATTCTCTCTAACATAAAATATATACATATATACATTTTGAGAAAGCCCGTTTAAAAATGGATTTTTTTTTATTATTGTTCCGAAACTTTGGATAAAGTTTTATTTTTGAATTATTATGACTTAGTAATATGTAAATAGATATAAATATACGAATGTGGATTAGATTAAAAAAAATTATTAGCGCTTTTTAAATAAAAATGATAATTCATTTCCTAATGAATTAGGCGATGCATTCCATCTCTCAAAGACTGAGCAAAACATGCAGAAGCGTGGTGGGCCTGCAAGGCGGCCTTGGGCTTTCTCATACTTTAGGCCGTAGGTTGACGGGCAAAACGAAAAAGAGTGGACCTTTGTAATGGGCTTCTGGTACAGTTGCTTTGTTATAGTGATTATAATAATTTAAATAAGAATAAGATCTATTTTGATTTTGTTTGGCTCTATAATAACTTAGGGTACACTTGGGACGGATGTGTTTGGGACAATTTTTTTAATGCTTTAGTTTGGATTAGAAAGTTATTTTTTATAATAATTTAAAAAAATTACTTTCTCCACATATTATTAGATAATAAATATAATGGATAAATTAGTTCTTAGAAGTTCGTTAGGCTTAAAGGTTAACATTAGGTGTCTTAATGGGTCATCTCATGAGTCTAGAAATACTCCTCATGTGGTGTATGGGGCGAAACCAGCCTTTCATTTTAGGGAGGACAAATTTTTCATATTAATAGGCTAATATTTAATAAAAATAAAATGAGGACATAATTCAAAAGCAAAATATTGTATTCCATTATTATAGGTAAATTAAAAATCATTAAAATAATATTAATCTATTTTATATTTTTTTGATAATATTGGATTATCATCTTTCTATAATCATAAAATTAGTAGACTGTGTTCTTGGTTCTTCATTAAATCTTTATATTTTTTCTAGTCTTATTTTGTATGCTATCTTGCTCTCTAATCTTACTCAACCACCTTGACTTTTAATACTCTACTATTGGAGTTTTAAAAGATGCCAGTAAAGACAAAAGTTAGCGTCTTTTTGCACATTGTACTCTAACCAATTAGTGTATTCATCAAATCACTTTGGATGCAATATTTCTAAAAAAAGGTTTGGGGAATTGATGATTTCTAGGTTGATAGGGTCCCTTCAATAGATATGCTCTCTGAACCTTATCTTTATCATTTACACCATAACTCGAAATTGGAAGTCGGAGTCCAGGATTTGTTGATCGGGTGCTTTTCTCAGTTTCCAATCCAATTTATTTATGGTGTTTATTTTGGTGGGCTTCATAAGATGGCTTTTATGTGATTATGTTGATAAAATCGGTGTAAGTTCTCTTCTTCGTTAAATTTCTTTCTTGAAGTTATAAAACATATTTTATGAATTGGTGAAACTTGATAAATTCTATCATTGGATATTAGACATTAACATTTTTTAAAAACTTTAAAAACACTTACAAAAACTCATCATATCCAAGGATTCCATGTTCACCCTCAATACGAACGAAATATAAAATCATCCTTTTGTTAAAGACGCTTTTCATCTACAAGTGAGCAACTGGATGAGATTATGATACAAATTGTGATTAGCAATTTTTAGAATTTGGCAATTAGGAAAGGATAACGCCAATTTTTAACAAAGGATTTGATAATTTGATTATTATTTATCCAAATACAAGAGAACACTAAAAAAATGAAGTTGGCGGATGAAGACAACGTACCAGAGCGGAGAAGTCGAAGAAAAATAGAGTCCTCGCGCTCCTCCAAGTGAGCAAGCGGAGATTTGAGATAAACAACGAGCATCGATTGACGAGCGCACGAGGGGATTCAGCAGAGAGGGGAGAGCCATGGGCATCACGAGCAGAGTCTTCAATGGAAGCAGACAAAAAATGTGAGAAAGGTTCAGTTAGGGCAAATTTTAATATGTTGTAGGGGCAAATTACTAAATAGCCCTACCTCTAATAAAGATTTTACACTTTTTTAGGGGGGCAAATTGATGGGCTTCTTAGGATGGCTTTTATGTGGTTATGTTCACATAATTGATATGATTTATCTTCTTCAATAAATTTCTTGCTTGAAGTTAGAAAACGTGTTTTATGAAATGGTGAAACTTGTTAAATTCTATCATTGGAAGAATGCAATATTAGCTTTAACATAAAATTTTAATATTACATTCTTACCACTCATATAATATTTAAATATCAAATAAAGCACTCATATATTTAATTCTTAACACTCGTACCACCTTCTAAACTTTAATATTTCATTCCATGCACCCATATTTTTTCTATTGGTGGTAGTCATATAATATTAAAGTTTTAGGTGTTAGATATGTAAATATTAGAAAATAAAGTGGTATGTAAATTAACTCCCCTTATTTGAAACTTTAAAAACACCCCCAAAAACTCCTCATATCCAATTATTTCATGTTCACCCTAAAAATAATTGCCCCCCTCGGCTGATTGTGATTCCGCCCCTATGAATTATGGCAAGAGACCAAAATGTTTAAAAAAGTGAGGGTTGAGTCATATATCTATTCCCCTCTAATTTTTTTTTTAATTATATGCATTCTATAATTACTCAATATCTACTAAGAGAATTAGACAAACTTTAAATCAT